GTTTTCCTCCTATAAATCAGATAGAAACTCGTTTTATTAGTGAAAAAGAGTAGCTTTAGTTCGGCTAACCTCGTCCATCTGCTATAAAATCATCAAAGTCATGATGTACTAATATATTTGTCCATTTACCTGACACGTTTTAGCTGTCATCGCTCCAATTGCTGTTAAAAATAAATCTACATCTCGAAAGGTATAGCCAAACCGACGTAATGACATATAGATAAGAGTACTAAGGAAACGAGTATTGATTTTTGTTTGACAAAAGGAAAATAGATCAGAAATATCATAAATTACTGAATCATTTTTGAAATTAATATGGTCAGTTTGATCACCAGATTCAGATGGAACTATTTCTTCTTTTTTTTCTTCATCAGAATAATCTTCCGAACTTTCTGAAGCGAGATTATCTATCGATCTTCTCGCATTCAAAGTATTAGTGTGTTTTTTGCGTTTATTCGGAGGCGGCATTTTGATTATATAACAAAACTTTGAACGATACCAATAATCTAACCAGGTAAAAGATTACCAATAATAAACTAGGTAAAAGATTTACAGATGTTTTGAGAAAACAGACACTGTACTCCCTCATAAAAAGCCATAAGAAAAAAAGAAAGCTATAACTTTGTAGCGCGTCAAACGGCGGTTCTAATGGCGTTTGAATAAAGTTTCCATCTCATAGGAAAAAAACTAGATACATCTACAAAGTCGCACACCACGAGGATGAGGGGTGATAGCACCCCGAATTCTTTATTCGACACGGTACATGCAATCAGTCTTTAGTTAACATTTCTATACTCAGTTTTTCATGAGGAATCTGAATATCATCTCAAAAATCCAAAAACCTCGAGCAAAAACAGAGTTATTGCATTATTTCTGAAAACAAGAGCTTTTTATGTTTTTGACTATCACTCAGTATTTTGAGTGTTTCTCTATGAATACTTGATTCAAATCAAATAATAAGGTGATATTCGTGATCAGCAGCTCACGACGAATCAGAATATGTGTGAAAAAACAAAATAAATTTTGTGGAAACTTTGTATTACTGGCACCTAACTAAACTGCAAAAGAAGTTTGAATTTCGGTACTGAATAGAACATAAACATAATCATCCAGAGTTAGCTTTGAAAAGCTGAATAACTCTTTCTTCAATGACAGAATATTTTGCTACCAGCATAGTATCTTTTCTAGATCCATAGACTAGAACCCATTCTAGAACCCATCACTTCCGAACAGCCTAATCAATGGGAAGTCAAATGAAAAAATCAGCTGATCAACCGCGAGCTCAGTGGTATTGGAAATCCAATTCTGATTCATGGTCTACAAATGAACAAGAAGAATGGACAAAATATTCTGATATCGAATCCGCGATTATTGAAGAAGCATTTAATGGAACAAATAAAACAAAACTAGCTGATCTAGATAATTATTTGATTAACTTAAACGAATCTATTCAAATCAGTAAATCGGATCCTAATAGACAGCGGCAAATAAAGCGAGTTCCAATTAGTAGAAACGAAACTCAAGGTTTAAGAGAACAACGATTCTTTCTACCACCAGGATTGAGTAAAACATTCAATACTGACAAGGGCGAAGGCGCTTATAATTTTCTTTCACAGTGGAAGAAAGACAAGAAACTTTCCAATGCTGAAATAGTGAAGCAGGCAGCGAAGGGAATAATTACTGAAGGAAAGCAACTCGATAAACATTGTGAGTCACACTACATAGCTCGCCAACTGCTAGCCGTGAGAAAAAAAGACCGAAAAGAAATTTACACGTGCTGCATCCAGCTATACACAATGGAATGCTTTTTATACAAACTAATAAACAAAGCACTGAGAGAAAACGATACGAGCAAAACAAGCACGCTCGGGCCATTTTGCTACATTTTATTCAGAAGCTGGCTAACCACAGAAGAAAAACATACAGCGACACTCTACCGCGGTGTGAATATCGATGATAATCAGCTCACATCGTATCAAGAGGCCATAGGCCAAACTAGATGTTGGGACGGCTTTACCTCAACCACCAAAAACCACGAAAAAGCGCAAATGTTCGGTAACATCTTATTCGTCATCGATGCAACACACAACGGAGGCATCGATATCTCAGCACTATCCGATTATGACGAAGAAGAAGTTCTACTACCACCGGGAACCTCATTTATAATCAACAAAGTCGACCCAACCGAACCCCATACCCTCATTTACCTGCAGCTTCTTGATTGGCATTCTTCACTAGCTGCATCATCATTGATTCACTTGTTGGCGACCTCATCATCGTCAGATGAGCACTGCTGTGACGAAAGCGAAATGTCATCTGGTGCCAACGAACATCTACGAGATGCATTAATAGCCTGGTCTTTATGGTGGTCGTTGGCATTTTCCACTAGCTGCATCATCATTGATTCACTTGTTGGTGACCTCATCATCGTCAGATGAGCACTGCTGTGACGAAAGTGGAATGTCATCTGTTGCCCTCGAACATCTAGGAGATGCATTAATAGTCTGGTGTTTCGTATTCTTCACTAGCTGCATCATCATTGGTTCACTTGTTGGTGATCTCATCATCGTTAGATGAGCACTGCAGTGACGAAAGTGAAATGCCATCTGGTGCCATCGAACATCTAGGAGATGCATTAATAGTCTGTCATTGAAGAAAGAGTTATTCAGCTTTTCAAAGC